TTCGCTCATAAAGAGATTTGGATAGTGATGGTGCAGCGATGCAGGTGGTTTGTGATTGAGCTATGTGGCAAATTCATGTACCCGTACAATACACATATGACAATATAATGATTCTCAATTAAAAGAGAAATTTATTTTATCAAAGTCAAAATAGAACATTAGCAAGCAATTACAATGTTCAACGTGACTAGAATTTGAAACTTTGGTGTTTCAAGCTTTGGAGTTTTCTTTATTACTTTTAAGATAGATTGGCCAAATTTTACGTGAAAAGAAAGAGAAGAAAGGATGCTGCTTCATAATACTTTCTTAAAGCTTATATCTAGACAAGTCTTGAAGTAGGGGGCATTTGTAGGTATGCAAAATTTATTGAATTTAAATTCAATAAAATATTTTGGACTATACTTTAAATATATGTTAGTCCAAATAAATATTATGGACCTATATGATTGGATTAATTATATTAGTCCAATATATGTGGATTAAATAAATAAATCCAAATTTATTGGGCTAACCCATTTACTTGGGCCACAAGTGATGAGCTCACTTTATTAGGCCCAAGATGTCATCTTCCTGGAGGTCCGATTTGGTGCCACGTGTCAAATGATGTGGCACGCCAAGTCAAACAGAAGAGCTAATAAGATCATGCCACATGTCAAAATGACAAGGCATGCCAAGTCAAATTAAAAGGCCAATGAAGCTACGCCACATGTGCAAGTGACATGTTCTGGCCAATCAAATGTGGCCTTGTCACACTTCAATCTGATTGTCGGAAAGAGTTTATTCTCATCACAACTCTTCTCTTCCACAACTATAAATATGAGTCTTCATAGCTTAGAAAAGGGATCAGAAGTTATAACAAGAAGACACAAGGGAGCTCGTGGATCAAATGCCATAATTCTCTGCAAACTCCAAGTGTTCAAACATTCAAGCACTTCAACACAAATTTCAAGTATTCAAGATCAAGAACGAAGTCAAACCAAATACAAGGCGTCCAAGATCAAGGCTACTTGTTCGTGATAAAATTGGTGGCAACAATCAAAGCGTTCACGACGGATAAATTAACTTCAAATTCAAGATCAAGCTCAAAGGCCCTTGAATTTATATTGAAAAAGTAGAATCAGAGGATCCATAGAGATTGTACACTCATATTATTTGAAATCAAATACTAAGGCTGTCCAACGGGACGGGCTATCCAACGGGACGGGCCGTCCCGTCCCGTCGCGTCGCGTCGCGTCCCGTCTCATCAAACTTAATTTTAAACGGGATGGGCCCATGTTAAACGGGATACGGGTTGGGACGGGATGGCCATTTCATCCCGTTTCGTCCCGTCCTGTCCCATCCCGTCCCGTCCCGTGTCCTAATTTTTTTTGTGCATTATATACAAGAAACTTATAATCCTGCTTTTCAAGGTTTTCCTAAGACCACTGTTAGAAATGATGTTTTTAAATTTCAAACGGAATATCTTTAGTATATTCGTTGTGTATTTTTTCACTTAGATTGTAAAGTGTCTATCAAATCTGATATAGGTCGTAGTCCTAATGGTTGTGATTATTTAACTGTTACATGTCATTGGGTTGATCATCACTGAAACATGCAAAAACGTATTATTGGTTATAAATTTGTTGATTCAAAACACACTGGAGCATATATTGCAACTACTGTTCTACAAATTGTTGATTTTTATGGACTCATTGATAAAGTTTTAACTATCACCTTAGATAATGCTTCTGCTAAGTGCTAACACAACTGCAGCAACTAGCTTAATGAAATGATTGCAAAATTAATCCAACTTATGCACCGGCCATTAATGAAATGATTGCAAAATTTTAAAAATATTTTTTCCCTATTCCCCGAGTTTAATTAATTTCTACTATACTTAACCCATCTTTAAAATTAAGAGGTGCAAATGGACTTTGTTCGTAAAATTTATGAGAATTTAACAATTCAAGAAAATGAACAACCATTTCTCGAAGACTGCCAAGCTAACATATATTCTTATGTTAGATCAATGTTTGATAAATATAAATCTATGGAAACAACAGGTGGTGAAACTAGGGAAGAAGAAGAAGAAGAATACCATGAGATACTTAGCATTGGGAGCTATGACGGCATGGAACATCAATCAATATTGCCAATTCTAGAACAATGTCCGAGAGAAATTATAGATAAGTTACAACGAAGTTATATATGAACTTACAAATATTAGTATGATAATTTGTAATTGGCTACTAAGAGGCCTAATTCAAACAGAACCCTTCCTAGAAGGTGGCTGCGTAGATTAGGTGCTCTTCAAAAGAATTATATTTGTATGTGAAATTTGAAAGTTCTATTAATAAAATAAAAGGCTCTAGGCGTTGAATTTTTTTTATGAATTGTCTTATACTCTTGCTTAGTTACTTAATGGCTTGAAATTATATTAAATAAATTATAGCTCTATTATAAATTTATAATTACTAGAATATTTCATTACAAGTCTTTTGTTTTAATATTTTATAATTCTTTACTTAGTTTTCTAATTTCCGTTTAATTTTTAAGTTTATTAAATAAGTCAAAAAAACTAGTTGTTGCAAACTTTAAAAACTTAGTCATTGTCAAAAGAATAGTCGTTGCCAAACTCAATGCTTAAATAATATTTGTTTTAAAACGGTACTTAAGGCCCGCGAACCCGTCCCGTCCCGTCCCGTCCCATCCCGTTTGTTAGCAGGACGGGATGGGCCTACCGTTTCGTCCCGTCCCGCCACCGTCCCGTCCCGTTAATTTTGTCCCATCCCGTTAGACAGCCATATCAAATACTACGATTGTTGCAATATTTTTGGTCTCAATTATTTTTCTTGACGCAAATTTATTGTCGTACAAATACATATAAAAACGGATACCCCAGTCAACTACATTTATAAATACACATAAAAGAAGAATATGTTGAAGTTTAATTCTGGCGTAAAATAATATAACTACCATATTATACTCCATATATAAAAGTTCCATATAACCTTTTGTCACGTAGAAAATTACATTAACGGTTCTCATTGTCTCCGTCAACATCGCTATTCAAATTTACATAATTATTATCAATGAATTACCACATTAAAATTTGCAATATCATCTTTTCTTTTTATTACCACTCATATCCTAGAATATACCATAGCGCCAAAACCACTACTTACTTTCCTTATTTCTATTCTACTGCCTCCCCCTATACCAGGTGATGCAACATCATCCTTTTTTCCTGCTCTAATAAGGTTCCTCCTTGCTTTCAAACTCATGCCAAGTGATATTTTCATTGTACAGACATTGGGGATTTGTATTTTGTAGTATTGAGCAATTTGAACGATAAAGTTTTGGCTAATTTACGTATATAGAATTCTACTTTAGCTTTCCTTGCCACACCTTCTTGTACTCGATTCTGTATGCTATTTTTCCTTAACCATTTGTTTAGTGATATTATTTTATGGCAAAGAGTCTTCTCTTTCACTTTTTTCTCTCTTTCTTGAACTCGTCGCTCTCCTTTTTCTTTTCCACTGGTGGCAGGCAAGACTATATCAATGATAAGTTCATTGGGGAATGATGACTTAGGTGTACGAAACATTTCGCGTTCATGCACGTCCGAGGAAGGGATATAGGCAGCCTACCCTGACGAGGACCTACTAACCATACATAAACTTCTTATAGATTCACTATTCTTCTCTTGGTGACTTGAATGTAACCAAACAAGGGCCAACACAAATATACGCTTAACAGGGGAAGATAACAATTAGAAAAACAAACACAGAAAAGAAATAAGTCATCCAACTTGTTATACCTGATTGCCCCGAAAGTTTCATCGTTATACATGTTGAGACCACAAAAAGATTCATTATTCAAACAGCAAAAGTGATGCAGTTGGTCCGGACAGGTTAAGATTCTGACTTCTGTTCTCGAACAAAAGGATGCACAAAGCTATAATCTATTGTCACTTTCTGAATCTTCAAAAGAACCGATAAATAGATCCCGGAAATATGTTTAAACCTAAATATAGAAACTTTTGAATGATGGCGTAACACAACGAGGGAAATAGAAATCTTACATTGCTTTCAACTCTTGCAGACTAGCCAGTTTGAGTGAACACTTTGGGGTGTCGATGAACTTATTTTACTTTTCAAAGTTAAATATTGGAAAATAACCAGTTCTCAACATAAGAAGCATGAGATATCTGGTTAAAAGCGGAAGGAAAATCCTCTGTGTGCTCATAAAGTCAACCCCTTTAAACAAGACTTTTAGGACCCACGCAAAAGCGGATAATAGAAATGTAGCATAAAAGGCAAACCACTAATACTCAGAATAAAAGGTAAACCACATTCCAGCAGCAAAAGAGACGAGATGTTCTTGAAAATCAGCTATGTTATGTCTGACATGCTTATAAAATTGTTTTTCTTTTTTAAAAGAGGAGAGAGATCAGACCAAGCAGGAAAAAGAGGGCATTCATGCAATATTTGCCACAACATTCAAGTTGTCAGTCAACTGACATTCATTTGACAAGAGGACAAGACAACTCAGCGGATTTGTATCGAAACTATCCATCTGTTGAACCTTTAGGGAATTCAACTACTACCCTAAGTTTGGACAAGAGCTGCTTTTATCGTAGCTCATAATTTCGAGAAGGTAACAAGCGTTTGGACAAGAGCTGCTTTTACCCTGCCCCTCCTTTTTGCCTATCATGAGGGGTTGGGCATGGTTCTATTGGTGCATTCTTGAGCAGTCACTCTCTCATTTTTTGACATATAGCTTCTTTTGATAAAGGAAACCTCTACTTGCTTCTCATATTACTAGAATCCACAACAAAAGCATACAAGAATCACCTAAAAGCAATAGCTAAAGCAATAAAAATCTTAGTCTAGTTCAATCTTTCCCTTGGCCTTTTCATTTTGAACTAATTGCTTTCATATGAACATTATAAAGATAAACCCTTGAGGATTCACCTTTGAGAATCTCATATCCTATGAAACAGAAATTGGGAGCCCATCTAGCTTCAACAAAGTTTCCTCGACAAATCCACACCTTTCAGAATCCTTCTCTAGGGTATTCAAATCCTTTTCCTTGGGGCCAAATTTATGTACAATTACAATATACATATTGAACAATGTCATCTGTTTTCCAAGAAAAGAAAAGTTGAAAAGCAAAAATCTGAAATCCAACGTTTGCAACTACTAACCTTTTTCTTGAAAATTAGCAGATAATTCATGGTAGCCAAAGAATAGTTGCTACAATTGACTCTGCATGAGACTGGGTAATGTTATCTTCCCAGAATTGTTTTCATCAAGCTTGTTGAACTGATTGCATATCTGCATTACATCTTTCTCCCTGATCTTTCCCATCTCCTTGAGCTTGTAGATGACATATTCCGATTTCCTGTAATGCATTGCAAAAGAAGAGGCTTTTAATCCCTCCATGCCAATTATGTCTTTCATATGTTTCAACAATTCAAACTCAAATTCAAATTCATTTAAGAATTTAGGTTATTCAAGAAAGTGCTTTTTACTATCAAAATAACTTCTTAATGTCTAATTTAATGCTTCTATCTACGATACTGATAAAACATGTAAGTCAAATCGACTTGTTATTTTCATGACAAACAGAACTGTCATAAAATAAGACAAAGATATTTATGTTATAAAAGTTATATGGAACTCAAGGGTGTGGTTTAGGGGTCAATGAGGTGAGTGAAAACCTTGGAGACTGAGGTTCAAAGTCAACATAGGCCATAAAAGCTAAGTGATTTTTTCGCATTTGCCTAAGTCTTGGTGGACAGAGTTACCGGATACTTGTATGGTGAGAGGTAGCAGGTACCGTTGGAATAGTTAAGGTGCACGCAACTAGTTCCCCCACAAGCCATGAAGTTGATGGTGGGAAATTTGAGTTCAGAGAAGGACTAATCATTCCACGATGGCCAAGAACGGCACTATATTCTCATGGAGAAAAAGCCATTGGTTTACCTTGATTATCTGATTTGTGATCTTCAGGTCTTAGCTTATAGCATATAAAATGGATTTTTGTTAACATGTATCCTTCTGTTGCAATACTACTTTATTGTATGAGTCATGATGGTTAGTTTAGTGACATGATGATGAGGCACAATAATATTGTCAAAATGTCTAACATAATGGCTCATAGTCAGCAAAGAATCTCGGAAGAAGCAAGTAATACTGATATTTGCTCCCTTACAACAGAAGTTAACTCAAGACGAACCCAATGGTGAGTGCTAATGCTATGCTGCCCTTCCCTTACATGGTATATTAAGGATCAAAATAGTCCGACCCTCAGATATTAAGGACCATTTTGATCATTGTGTCCACCTGAAAGATACAAATACATGAGTGAATTGTGTAATTGAATGTTAGTTCCTAACCAAGAGGAGATATCATTGGCTTATTGATTTTGGCTATTGATGAACAGACCATATCAAGAGACATTCCAAACACTATATAAAGGGGTGTGGGTCCGTCTCTCCACTCTAACTAAGTTTGTAGTATCGCATCATATTAGACAAACATTAAGAGATGAGGAGAGTAAAGATTGAGACTCATATTTTCACATAAATTGTTAACTCTGGAATCCTACCTATATCCTTGCAGGAGGAACACAAATGTCAATAATGAGTTAATGAAAAAGGTGACAAAATTTATGGCAGACTACTGTTAAGGCGGCACTGTGCTGTGAAATACGGTTTGGAAGAAAGAAAGAAAGAAAGAAAGAAAGAAAGAAGGAAAGAAAGCTTTACCGAATGAAACCATTATTGTTAATGTCAGCGGCAAGCAGATCTTCAATGGTGATTTCGCGCTGCAATACCCAGTTGGCAATCCTCCTGTGCCTCTTATCAATCCTGGCCTCTGCCAAATACAAGAAAGCACGTGCAACCGCGAGGGTGGAGAATAAAAGCCAAATTGACGCGAACAACCTTCCCGGCAGGGTCTTGAATGCCCTATCACCATATCCAACAGTGGTAACAGACATCACTGACAAGTAAACTGAATCGATCCAATCCAAATGTTCCTGGAAATACAACACCATTGACCCCAAACCAATGCATAAAAGAACAACTCCCAGAGCCAAACCCACCTTCAATCTGATTCTCATTCTGCCTTTGGCTACGTCGACGATATAGGCAGATAGTCCGCCACCACGCCCATGCCCGTGATCGAATTGCCGTTGCCCTTGTTCTTTAATGCCGGCCAGTAGCAAGTTCTCCTGCAAGTCAAGTACGTAATTGACAACCCCACTCAGCAAAATGTCAATGAACCCAAAACCAACAAGCACAAATATACAAGCAAAGACTTTGGTCAAAGGAGTAATCGGAGCAATGTCGCCGTAGCCAATGGTACACATAGTGACGATGCAAAAGTAAAGGGCGTCAACAACCGGGTGAGTCTCAACTCCAGAGAAGTGGTCACGGTTGAAGGAATAAACGACGACACCAAGAGAGAGGTAAATTATAAGTAGAAAAGCGGCCTGTCTGACGAGAGAAGTAGGGCCAAATTGGTGGACAGATTTAGTGGGTGATTTAAAGAGGTCCTCCATAGAGACCATAGCCGGAGCAGTTCTGGATCGGCGCATTTTCTTATTGGAAGGCAATAAGCTGTAGGCAGCTGAAGTAGAAGGCCAGGAAACCGGAGCGAAAAAGTCATCATCGGAATCGGAGGATGACGACGAAGCTTCCATGTCCCCAAAATTGGTCAGGGTCTCGATGTTGCTGTACAGGGGAGGATTAGATGGTTAGCTTTTTGGGAGAGAGTCACAGTTGTACTGATTCAGCAGCTTTTTGGAAGAGAGTCACAGCTATATATCCATTATCTTGTCTATAAATCGCATTATAAATTTAACTGTATCATTTTATGGGTAAATAATTTGACGCCCATAGTAGAGCATAGACAATTGTGTAATTGCTATGATACATTCATCCGTTACTAATAAATTTTGATTCCTTCCTTAGCAAAAGAAAGATCAAGTATGGCATCTAATAATATCAACAATGTTGGAGCACACGATGAATGGGAAGAAGTATTCCATCATGATGATTCAATCAGCGAGACCCGCAACGAGGAGGATGAAACGATCCTAGTTCGCAAAGGTCAGTATCCTCGGCATGTGCGGGGTCCAACTCCTGATGATGCGGAGGATGAGCATACTGTTGAAACAGTCAAAATCTTGAGAGAACAACAAAAAGTGATTATGGACCACCTCTCAAGGCAAGATCGGCTCCTTCCAATAATGCTAATAGAAAGGCTCGGGTTCCTCCCAGTGTTCCCACAAATCAAACGGCGCAAAGAACTGATAACAATACTCTAAAGGGATGAGGTCAGTTTCGACGAGGCCGGAGGGACCGGTAGTGGATCTCGGAACAACAACTTAAATGACCCTTTCAAAAATCGAGCTCATGATATTTGTAAGAGAAATGAATGAAAGAATGGATCAGAAAACAAAGGAGTTTCATGCTCGAATGAATCAGATCCCGGGCATGCCGCCGGTGTTAAAGGGTCGGAATTCAAAAAAGTATACGCAGTTGCCGTTTAAACCAAGTGCGGCACCAGAGTTGATCCCAAAGAGGTTTAAGATGCTAGCTATAACAAAGTATGATAGGACTTCAGATCCACATGAGCACATCACGACCTACACTACGGCAGTAACGGGAAATGACCTGGCCCAGCATGAGATCGAATCAGTTTTACTGAAGAAGTTTTGAGAAACCCTTACGTAGGGTGCCTTGACTTGGTATTCCCTCTTACTTGAGCATTATATTGATTCTTTTGAAATACTTGCGGATTCGTTCATCAAAGCTCATGCTGGAGTAATAAAGGTCCAGGCCAGAAATACGGATATATTCAGAATTTTGCAAGGAGAATCTGAACTGTTGCAAAAGTTCGTGATCTGATTCCAGAAAGAAAGGATGTTGTTACCAACAGTTCCGAATGAGTGGGAAGCGGAGGCATGTACAAAAGTTCTCAATCCATTGAGTTTCGATGTCTCTTGAAAATTGAAGGAGAGTTTGCTCGGGTTTCAGGCAACCACATGGGCTGATATTCACAATCGCTATGAGTCGAAAATAAGAATAGAAGATGATCAACTTGGTTTCTCGGCGTCCTCCAAAAGACATAATCATGATCAAAATTAGGATAAATTCAAAAGTTATTTTGATGTAGATCGAAGACCCTCTAGAAGTCATTTTCAACCTTACGAAAGGGCTGATGGGCGATGTAGTAAATGATTTCAATCATCGGATAGGTTCACTTCCTATAGAAGGATGGATCGTGGATGAAGTAATAGATCATTGTAGGAGAAAGAGGTGTCAGGGTCCCGAGATTCAGCTTATCCCCGGTTGTCAGATTATAATTTTAATATCGCTTGGTGGAATTGGTATCGGCCATGAGAAGTATTAAAGAAGTTAGGTTCCCGAAAATGATCCGATCAGATCTTAGCCAAAGGGACCCTAATCTATAGTATTAGTTCTATGGGACTCATGGCTATAGGATCGGGGGCTAACAACATCTTCGTGAAGAGGTAGCAACGTTGTTGAAGAATGGTCACCTCAGGGAATTTTTAAGCTACCGCGCCAAAAACAACTATGGGAGAAACCGGGATAATGTAGAACCATCGAAGCCGAAAGCAGAGTCACCTCGGATGACAATCAACATGATCTTTGGAGGAGACGAAGCCAATAATGTGACATTTTCGGCAACAAAGAAGATGAAGATATTGGTGACTCATGGCAAGAGGATCTGAGAGGTCTCAGAAGATAACATCACCATCATAGAGGAGGATGCTGATAGACTTTTTCTACCGCACAATGATGCTTTGGTAATTTCTCTTAATGTTTTAGATTTTAAAGTTAAGCGGGTTTTGGTTGATCCAGGAAGTTCAGCCAACATCATTCAATGGAGAGTTCTGGAGCAAGCGAAGTTAACCGGGAACATCAACAAAGCTTCTAGTTGGCTTCAATCTAACAAGTGTGACAACCCGAGGGGAAATGTTGCTGCCTGCACATGCCGAAGGTGTAACAAAGACCACCTTGTTCGAAGCGGTAGATGGTGACACGGGCTATAATGTAATCCTCAAAAGGCTGTTGATACATGAAATGAAGGTTGTACCTTCGACCTATCATCAACTGTTAAAGTTTCCAACACCGGAAGGGATCAAGCAGATCAGAGGGATCAACTGGCACAAGAGAGATGAACGCAGTAACCGTTTCCAGCAGAAAAGGGCAAAGAAACCAGCAAATAGCAATTATAGGAACCAGTGCCTTCTCCCATCCCAATCGAAGATGATAATAATGAGGAGTCGTCGGAATTATATCAGGTACCGAGGTCTTTTTAGGTATCAGAGTAAACAGATGTGACCAAGCCAATCGCAGAAAAGCTCGAACAAGTGGCTTTGTTCAAAGAATTTTTGGAAAGAAAATTTCATTTAGGAACAGGGTTGAGTCCCGAACTCAGGTTAAAACTTATAGATTTTCTTATATATAACATTGATTGCTTTGCGTGGTCACATTCAGATATGACAGGTATTTCATTGGAGGTGGCGGTCCACAAACTGAGTCTGGATCCAAACTTCCCTCCGGTAAGGCATAAGAAGCGACCGATAGTGGAGGTCAGAAATATGTTTGTTAAGGAAGAGGTAATCAGATTACTTAACATCGGTTTAGTTCGAGAGGTTAAGTACCCGGAGTGATTAGCTTTTGTAGAAGTCCTTAAAAGAATAACATATTTAGGATGTGTGTAGATTATAAGGATTTAAATAAGGCATGCCCCAAAGACTCTTTCCCATTGCTAAACATTGATCAAATGATTGATGCTAAAACCGGGCACAAGTTAATGAATTTTGTTGATGCTTATTCCGAGTATAATAAAATTAGGATGAACTCGGAAGATCAAGAGAAGATCTCTTTCATCACAAACTTTGGCACATATTGCTATAATGTGATGTCTTTTGGGCTTAAAATGCCAGAGCCACTTATCAGAGGCTCGTTAACAAGATATTTGAAAAATAGATAAGTAAGATGATGGAAGTCTATATTGACGACATGTTATTTAAGTATCTTAATACAAGAGATAATCTGGAACATCTCCAATAGACATTTGACATTCTGAGAAAGTACAACATGAAGCTCGACCCGGAGAAGTGTGCCTTCGGGGTTGGCTCCGGTGAATTCTTGGGGTTTCTGGTCTCACAAAGAGGGATTGAATTAAAACCAGACAAAATCAAAGCCATCGAGGATATCCCAGACCAGCTAACAAGTGTGAAAGAAGTACAGAGGTTGACCGGTAGGTTGGCGGCTCTATGCAGGTTCATCTCAAGGTCCTCGAAGGAGTGCCCCTAAGAAACTTAGGACCCC